GGGGGGGGGGGTCCGGATGGAGAAAAAGAGACGGGGGTGGGAGGAACCACGACGGGGAGAAGTGGGGTTTGCAGCCGGTGGAAACGGGGAACACCGGGCACAGAGCGGGGCTTCCCCAAGGGAAAGCAGCGCACGGGGGATGCCCAAGCAGAAAAAGGGGGTGCAGCGGGCCTGGGTGAGGGTCTCACGGGGGGATCCGCTGGGCTGGGGCGGGGGGGGATAGCGCGTTACCACCGGGCGGCGCCCGCGCTCCACTCCCGGTACCGGGGCGCGGCGGCGGACGGGACCCGCCCGGTGCCGGGGGGAGCTCGGGGCGCGGCGCGGGCGGTGCCGCATCCCCCGGTGCCCCCCAGGGCAGGAGGGACCCCTCGGGGCAGGAAGCTTTCCCTCGGCTCCATCACCTCGCCCTCCCCGCCGCGCCTTTGTCCTCGCTGCCGCCCGCCCCGGCGGAGAGCACGGTGCCCCCCGGTTCCTCCCGGTTCCCCCCGGTACCCACCTGCCCGTTGGCCTTGGCGGTGTCGGGGTCGCCGCCCGCCGCCTTGGAGCCCTGGCTGCCCATGGTGCGGCCCTTGCGGAGGTGCCGGCCCCGCCGCGGCGGCTGCGCTGGGCGGGAGTGGGGCGAGCCCCCCGCCGGCCGCTGATAAAGCGAGGGGCGGGGGCGGGACGGGGCCGAGCCCGCCCCGGGGGCGGGGGGAACGCCATGGAGCCGCCGCCCCGGCCGGCACCGGGGGGGTTCTGGTGGCCGCCGAGCCCCCGAAGGTCGGGGAGGCTGCGGTGGGGTGAGGGGGGCACCCCCTTCCCTGGGTGGGGTCTCATGGCAGCTCCAACCGCACCCCCGGGCTGCTGCTCACCCATTCCTGACACCCTCAGGGTGCTGCTCCCCCCAACCCCAGAGCCCCTGGGTGCCTCTGCCCCATCACCAACACCCCTGCAGTGCCGCTGCCCCCAGCCCTGTCACCCTTGGGGTGCTGCTCACCCCATCCCTGTCACCCCCGCGAGGGTCCCGTGGTGTCCCTTGTCCCTTTTCCATCCCCCCCCAGGACTGTCCTGGTGCAGGTCAGGTGCAGTCCTGTCACCCCCCGGTCCTGCTCAGCCCAGGGTGCCTCATCCCGGGGTTTTTCTCGTTCCAGGCTCCTGCTCATTCCATCCCCACCATCCCCGGGGTGTCCTGCAGTGGGGACAGGCTGTGCCGTGTGTCACACCCCGGCTCCCTGCCCCGCTCAGCACCCTGGCACAAACTCAGGGAGTTTTTTTCCCTCTGGATGTTCCTCCTCTCTGATTTCCCAGAATAGGAGAACTGATGAGAAAGGAAAACGGGACTAAACTGATGGATTGCTGGTGCTGGCCTGCAGCATCCCTGCCAGCACCCAAACACAGCTGGATTTCACTGGGGGCTCCCAAAATCCAGAGATTTCCATGCCAGCCCAAGCCACCAACACCCCTGGAGGAAGCTCCCAAGTGCCACATCCTGAGCTCTGGAGTTTTCCAGGAATCCTGCTCCCACCAGAGCAGCTCCAGAGCCACCACGGGTGGCAGAACCCTCTGTCCCCAGCACCCAGCTGTGCCACGGAGCCCAGCAGCGTCCAAGGCCAAACTCCAAGGGGAAAACAATGTCCCGCTGTGTGTGCTGCACCAACAAGGTCATGTTTTGTCTCCGGCCTCCCTCCCTCCCCCCCTGCACATCAGCTCAGCCCCGTTAGAGTGAAATTGCTGTTAATTAAAACAGGCGGCATCTTCCTTATTGACTTTTGGGTGCCAGTTGATAAAAAGCCCTTGGACGGCTGCCGGGCGCTGCCGGCTTGGCCGTGAGGGCTGGAGTGTCCTGAGCAGCCACGGGAGTCGGGCAGGGAGTTCCCTGCTGGAAAACAGCAGTGCCAGGGAGGTTGTTGGGCTTGGGAAGACCCAGAGTCCAAGAGAGTGTGGAATTAGTGGACACACGAAGGTTGTTCCCAATCCCAGCCTTGGGAAATATCCAGGTCAAATCCACACTTCTCTTCCCGCCTACTGGGAGCAATTTTCAGCCTTTCTGCTGGAGGTCATTTCATCCTGGCTTTTCTCTTCAGGAACACAAACAGGCCTTGTGCTGCTGTCCCATCCCATCCCGTCCCATCCCATCCCATCCCATCCCATCCCATCCCATCCCCACCTCATCCAGCACCGGCTCTCGCAGCTCCCGTCCAAATCCATCCATCCACACGACAGCCCTGAGACATTCCCAGCTCTCATCCCAAAGCCACAAATGGGAATGGCACCAGCAGCTCATTCCCACTGGCCCATTCCATTCCCACTGGCCCATTCCCATTCCCACTGGCCCATTCCCATTCCCACTGGCCCATTCCATTCCCACTGGTCCATTCCCATTCCCACTGGTCCATTCCCATTCCCACTGGCCCATTCCCATTCCCACTGGCCCATTCCCATTCCCACTGGCCCATTCCATTCCCACTGGCCCATTCCCATTCCCACTGGCCCATTCCCATTCCCACTGGGGGGGTGCTGGTAGCAGCCCCAGCGTGGCTCTGGCTGGGGGCACCTTCCCTGTGGAACTGGTGCTGGTGGGGTTTTCTGGGATACAAGAGGATTTATTGGGGTCAGGGCTGGGGTCAGCAGCCACCCCATGGACACTCCAAGGCTTTTCCATGTTTTGCCAGAAGGGATGAAGGATTTCACCCCACGCCTCTCCCAGAGCGCCAGGACACGGCCGTGGTGTGTAAAGGTAAACTGAGGCACGGCTGGGAAGCGCAAGAAGCAGAACTGGGGGGTGACAGTGACAGTGACAGCCCCCTCCCCAATCCAGGCCCTCCCAGCAGGAGTTTTTCCAGCAGCTCTCATCTCCGAGGAATCCCCGTCTCTCCCGGTCTCGGCTTTTCCTGCGACCCCTCTCCCGCAGCTGTGGTTATAAATAGCCGCGTTCCCCGTGAATTCCCGAGTGTGCCTTGTCTTCCACAGCACCTCCCTCCTTCCCTGCTCCTTCCCAGCATGGATCCGCTGCCTCTGGAGCTCCGTGGGGTGACCAGGGCTGTCCCCAGCCACATCCACAGCTTTCCCAGCTCCCAGCTCTTCCTCCTCCGTGTGTGGCTGGGGACTTGTGGTGACACCGGGGGTGTCAGGAACCAGAAATCGGTGAATTCCAGCACAACCCAAACACCATCCCAGCCCTCCCAGTGGAAACCAGTGGCCACCAGCAGCATGGTGGATGCCATCCCACCCTCCATCCCGCTGGAGCGGGGCAGGAGATGCTCCGGCTCTGTTTCCGGGAGCTTTGGAAGGGCTGGGAATTTGCAGGATCCCCGCAGACGGACAGATTACGCTCCGGCAGATGGACAGGCAGACAAATCTCTGCTGCTCCTGCCCGCCTGGCCGGGGGGACTCCAGATCCTTGCGGATGTTGTTTTCCACTTTCCAGACCTACTTAAAGCGCGGCTGATTATTAATTTATTGGGTGTTAAGCGCTGGGAGGCTGCGGGGCAGAGCAGGGAGCTCAGCTCCGGCACCACCGGGTTGGAGAGGGGCAGAAGGGACCGGGACCATCCCCAGGACCTCGCCCTGCCCTGCGTTCCCCCAGCCCTTAATGAGGAATTAAGGCAATTATTTATTCATGGACCCGGATCATCCGCTCCGGGATTTTACCCCGAGTTAAAGGGGCCTGGGAATAAAAACAGAGGGATTTCCACATTGATTTATAAATAGCAAGGGAATTAAGTAATTAGATCTCTCCAGGGAGAGAATTCCAGCAGGGAGAGTGCGGGGTTGGCCTGGATGGATGGTGAAGGCTTCTGCCACCATGGCAGTGATGGGGACAGCCCTTGGGGACAGCCCAGAGCTGCTTTAGGGTTTGGGGTCTGTCCTGTAGGGTCTGGGAGCTGTCCCTGTAGGGTCTGGGGGCTGTCCTGTAGGATTTGGGGCTGCTCTGTAGTGTCTGGGGTTTGCCCTGTAGGGTCTGGGGTCTGCCCCTGTGGGGTCTGGGGTCTGTCCTGTAGGGTCTGGGGGCTGTCCCTGTAGGGTCTGAGAGCTTCCCTGTGGGGTCTGGGGGATGTCCCTGTAGGGCCTGGGGGCTGTTCCTGTAGGGTCTGGGGGCTGTTCCTGTAGGGTCTGGGGGCTGTCCCTGTAGGGTCTGGGGGCTGTTCCTGTAGGGTTTGGGGCTGCCCCTGTAGGGTCTGGGGGCTGTCCCTGTAGGGTTTGGGGGGGCTGCCCCTGTAGGGTCTGGGGTTTGCCCTGTAGGGTCTGGGGTCTGCCCCTGTGGGGTCTGGGGTCTGTCCTGTAGGGTCTGGGGGCTGTCCCTGTAGGGTCTGGGGGCTGTCCCTGTGGGGTCTGGGGTCTGTCCTGTAGGGTCTGGGGGCTGTCCCTGTAGGGTCTGGGGGCTGTCCCTGTAGGGTCTGGGGGCTGTCCCTGTAGGGTCTGAGAGCTTCCCTGTGGGGTCTGAGAGCTTCCCTGTAGGGCCTGGGGGCTGTCCCTGTAGGGCCTGGGGGCTGTCCCTTCCATGCTGCAGCATTTTGGCCTTCCCAGGACATGGCCACTCGCCTGGGGATGCTCTGGATGCTCATCCCACAGGGATTCAGGGTGAAGGGGCCAAGCTCCTTGAGCTGTGGCAGGAAAATCCTCCACGCTGGGGATTCCTGACGGGAACAAGGCCCAGCAGGAGGAGCAGGGAATCTCTCCCCTTTACCGAGCAGAAGTTGGGCACAGCCCGACTCAATCCCGAGTGATCTCTGACGTGCACCTGGGAAAAGGCTCCCGGACCAAGCTCCTGGGAATGCAGCAGCAGTGTCCCCAAATCCTTCCTGCCCTGGGCAGGGCTCCAGCCCGGGAGGCTGTGGTGAGGCTCTGACTTCCCATAGAAACACATGAAAGGGCCCCTTCTTGTATTTGCCAGAGCCCCGTCATTTTTGGTTGTGAAGATCCCATGGCAACCGGCGCCTTCTGCAACTGCACTTGCTATTTCTGGGCTCGCTTTTCCCCTCCTGTGGGATCATCCCGTGGGATCAGCCCTGCTCTCCCAGCCCTGGGCCTTTTCCAGCCCATCACCCCCTTCCCTGCTGCGTGATGAGGTGTTGGGAGTCACGGAGCAGGGATTGGAGCAGGAATCTCCTCCGTATCTTATCTTGGAGCCCATCTGCCCTTCCTTAGGGTCAGGAGTTGGGATATTTGCAAACAGAGCCAGGCCCCAAACTCAAAGCCCTGCAGCCTCACCCTCAGGCTGGGCTGCACAGCCCCAGGGTGGCGATGGGGACAGTGCTGGGGTGTGAGGATGGTCCTCAGGCAGTTTTGGCATTTTGGGGATCAACACCCCCCTCACGGCCTTTCCCAGCCTGTGGATCCCTCCTGGCAGAACAGGAACCCCCACAACGCCCCGGTCCGGGCATCCCGCTCATCCCACGCTCCTTATCTGCGCTATCCCGGCCTTAGGCTGCGTCTCGGGGCTGATAAAGGGCTGCCTGACCCTGAGCTGCCAGCTCGGGAGCGTTGTGAGAGCAGGACGGCTGCCAGAGGGTGCCTGGAGAAATCCGGGAATGCCGCAGGATCCAGCCCAGAGCAGGGATGGAAGGGCGGCGGGTGGGGCCGCACCGGGCTCTGCTCCCCTGACCTGGGCAGGGTC